TGTGGATTAACCAGCAGATTTGCCCCCGTGTGATAACGTCCTTAGTCCAACACTCAAACCATTACACCACGCTTATCTCCTAAATACATTCACATAGAAAGGGTGGTCACTCAAATGAAAAGCCATGTGTGTGTGAAGGTGAGCACACATGCAGTTTTTGAAGGCAGCAACTTGTCATGCAATAGTGAGAAATGTTGCATCTGTATATTTATTTCCACACATCCAATAAACGTATAGGATCAAGTTATTTCTTCTGCATCTAGTTATTCTATACCTATTTGCATATCACCTTCATACAATCATATACTTCTTCTCCAGTACTGATACATATAACTGAACAGATTGCATTACTTCTCCTTCCTCACACCTCCATCTTTCTGTTCTCATTATCTCCTTTCTGATAATGTTTAGATTCCAAATACATTGGGTCAGGGAATATTTTGTTGTTATTTTTGTTGTTGTATTGTATCCCTTGCATTTATTCTGTCTTGCCTCTTTTTAATCAGCCAGAATGCCTCACTATTCACTCCTGGTCTTTTTGCTCCACTTGTGGAAGCCTTACCTTCCCATCATAGATAATTTCCTTTAATCCAGCTCTATCTATCTCCTCTTACATGTTTCAGTGGAGGTCAAGGCACCTGCAGTTATGTATAGAAGAGGGTAGTTTGGCGGCACACCTAGAATACTTTTCCCAGTTCTAGACATCCCTATTTTAAGACTGAGATTGACAATGTGGAATGTGTCTAGAAGAAGATGACAAATATAGCCAGGGGATGGAGACCAAGAACATTTTCACACTGTGCAAGTCTAGTGCTATAATTACACTTTAAACGCCATCCTGGGGTTTGTAGTTTGATGAGGTACTAGAACTGTCTGGCTGAGAATTTTAAGTACCACTTTCTAAACTATAAATACATAGCATTTGGTTAGTATGGCATAGTGGTTTGAGTGTTGGACTACAACTCTGCAGTCTAGGGTTCAAATCCCTGTTTAGCCATGAAACTCACTGGGTGACCTTGGGCAAGTCACACTGTCTCAGCCTCAGAGGTTGGCAATGGCAAACCCCCTCTGAAGAAATTTGCCAAGAAAACCCCATTATAGGTTTGCCTTAGGCTTGCCTTAAGTTAGAAACAACTTGAAGGGACATAACAAGAACAACAGCTATGGAAAATAAGGTGAAATCATAGTGCTATAACTATGTAGTGTGAAGAAGGCCCAATCTCTATGAGGAAACAAAGGTGTTGGGCATGTTTAGTTCAGAGAAGTGATTATTAAGAGGTGAAATGATATCCATCTTCAAATATACAAAAGGCTACCACCAGAATGATGGAAGCTTTGTTTATTGTTTGTTTGTTTTGGGGTTATTGATTTGTTTGTCATTGTTGTTTTGGAAGCTTAAGAGAGTGAGCAGCTACACAACATTAGGAAGATCTTCCTGATGGTACAGGCTGTTTGGCAGTAGAATAAAATACCATGGACCCTCCTTGTTTTAAAGAGATTTTTAAAGGCAGAGGCTAAATGACCATCTTTCCAAGATGCTGTTATACCAGACCTCCTCTATTGACAAGGGATTGGAGCATATAAACCAGGGGTAGGCAACCTTTCCCCTTTAAGGGCCGAGGGACTTCACCAGAATCCCAGGAGCTATTGGCCAACATAGGACTATTGGCCAACATGGCTGAGGCTTCTGGGAGCTGAAGTCCCTCGGCCCTTAAAGGGGAAAGGTTGCCTACCCCTGATATAAACTTTGATTTCCTCTTCAGCTTCTTGATTTTATGCCACAAGATGGTAAAGATGGACCTAACAAAATCCCCTCTTCTACACGACTGTGAATGGTGCAGGGTGACCTTTGCATCTGGTCACCCTGCTTCAGCCAGGAGTTCTTTAATCCTACCGATTGCTCCTGATCCTTCACTGTATTAGCATCAAACCTGAGACAGTATTCAGATGTATTCGTTAGTAAGAGCTTGTGATTAGTACTAAGGGAGGAGCAGTTAGTCTGTCCTCTTCTTTATTGTGGCTGGAGAGGATCAGAAGTCTCAACCATGTGTGAATAAATTGAATGCTGGAAACAGGAGAAAAAGGTGACTATACTGCATGAGAAAAGAATGTCGAAATGGATCGGGACAGTAGCGGCTTTCTTCATGCCACTTCTCATGCCATCGTAGCACTTCTGTTCTCTTCCCAAGGGGAGATGGTTGTCAAAGTGTGTTTTCTGCCAAACAGATTTTTCCCATTCAGCAAAAGGCATGCTTTGCTGACCATCTCTTCCTGGGAACATAATGGAAGTGCTTCAATGGTCTACAGAGTGGTATGGAGAAAGCCACTACTGTTCCAATCTGTTTCACCTTTCTTTTCTTGTACAGTAAAATCCAGAGAAATTGAGATTGAGAGACAGACAGATGACAGAGCAAGGAATGGACAGGAGTCTTGGGGCCCATTCATACTACAGTTATAGTGCTATGATTCCACTTTAACCGCCATGTTGTTTTTTTATTTGTTTATTTAAAGGGGTTTTGTTTCACCAGCTCACAAACATGCCTGAGAAAATGAACAAATAAAAATCAACTAAGACAATGAGAAGATTAAAAAACATTTTTCAAACACATTAAAAAAATATTTAAAATGCCTAAAAGCAGTCTAAAAACAATCCATAGGTTCCATCCTATGGAATCCTAGGATCTGTAGTTGAGGGAAAGGTCTTCAGAATTTTCAGCAAGGGAGCTCCTCTGCTGCTTCTGACCAAACTACAAGTCCCAGGATTCCAGCCGATGCAGCCACGGTAGTTAAAGTGGAACCATAGTGGTATAATTGTGTAATGTGGAAGGGACCCAGGTAGCTTTAGAGCAGCAGCCACAAAAGAAACCACTGAAGTCTTTCTCTTATCTCAACCTCTAGTTCAGGCTCCAGGATTGCTTCCAGATTAGACTTTTATCATGCAATTGCCCTGCTTCATTCATACAATATTACATGAGGCCAGATGATATTTTCTTCCCTTTGTAACTGTCCTGCATTTCCCCATTGCTTTTTCCATCCCTCTCTCTATATGTTTTCAATTTAAAATCCATCAATAATGGAGAGATGGAATAGCTGCCCAGTAGATTTTGATTATTAGTGCATAGAATCCATTGGCTGGAACTACACCAGGAATGGAGGAACATGTTTTAGACTCATAGTTCCCAAACTTTGATCCTTCAGATGTTTTGAACTTTAGCTCCCAGAATTCCTGACTGTCTGGCAGGCTGGCTGGGGATTCTGGCAGCTGAAGTCCCAAACACTCAGTGGACCAAAGGTTGTGAACCACTGTCTTGAGATCAGTTATCCTTCTTGTTCAAGATCTGCTACACCACGTGTGGGAATTGCATGGTCTGCAGGCTACCAATTGCCCACAGAAGTCCTGTTGGCTGTGAGCAATAGGTGGCCTGTAAGCCCTCCAAGAACCCCTCCAAGCCCTCAAAGCCCCAACTTACCCTATCTGTCTGGTTTTGAGACTGATAGTTGTCTGGTTTTAGAGGTGGAAGAAAAAGAATAAAAGGAATGGTGGAATCACTGGGAAAAGATGGAAGGGTTACAAGGGAAAGACTGTACTGATATCTGTAAAATTCTACCAAATGAAACCATGCAATTCCATGCAGGTGACCCCAGGACTGTAGCCTCAGTAAGACTTAGGCCCATGTTTTTTTAAGGATACACCTACACTCTAGAAATAATGCAGTTTGAAACCCCTTTAATTGCTGTAGAACTATCCTATGGAATCCTGGGATTTGTAGTTTTGCAAGATCCTTGGCCTTCTCTGCCAAAGAGTACTAGTGTCTCACAAAATTATAAATCCTGGGATTCTGTAGGATGAAGCCATGGCAGTTAAGGTGGTGTCAAACTGAATTATTTCTACAGTGTAGATGCCTCTTAAGTTATTGCATGGCCACAATTGTGCTTCTAAAGTGGAATCTCTCTCTCTCTCTCTTTTTGTTAATTGCCTTCAAGTCAGCATTGACTTATGATGACCCTATGAATGAGACACCTCTAAGAGTTCCTGTCATCCACAGTCCTACAAACTCAGGGTCATGGCTACCTTAATTGAATCTATCCTCCTGTAATACAATCTCTCTTTTCCTACTGTCTTCAGTTTTACTGAGCATTATTATCTTTTCTAAAGAGTCATATTGTCTCATGATAAGCTCAAACTACGATAGTCTCAGTTGGGTTATTTAGGCTTCTAAGAAGGGTTCTGGATTGATCTGAGAGAGCCAAGACACTCAAGAAGAAAGGTTTCCACACAGTATCTTCTTGACATGCTAGCTTGAGATTTCTGAAGGAGAGAAAGAAAGCTGTATTGGGATCTTTAAGGATTACAGTCCAGGATGTTCCATTCTCCCTATGATTTAATCGTCCTGGGACTAGTCTACATGTAAGTGTATTATGCACGTTGCTGAGGATTTTCACACATTCACATCAGCAATTGATCGTCTTCACTTTCCCTGAGAAACCTTGCATCTATTCACATCTATTCACCCTTCTGCTGAAAATGTGCAGCCGTCCGAATCTATGTGAGCAGACAGACAGCCATACATGTGATAATGCATGTGTCTGTAGATTTCTGTGGATGCTCCAGTAAAAACTGTGAAGCCTTTTCCTGTGGAGCTTAGGTTTTTCAGGAGCACCCTGCAAAAACAAAACAAAACAAAAGAAACCCAAATACTGTGCATTGTATATGGCTGGGGATGGATTCACATTACGGGAATAAACCAGGCTGACACTGCTTTGCCACGGCTCTCAATGCTATAGAGTTCTGAGAATTGTAGTTTTGTGAGACATTTCACCTTTTCTGTCAGAGACCTCTGATGCCACTATGAACTACAATTGCCAGAACTCCATAGCATTGAGCCATGGCAGTTAAAGTGGTGTCAAACTGGACTATTCTGCAGTGTGGATGCAGGCTGGATCACATTCTATTTGACTGGAATGAAGAGTATTTTAATTGTGTAGACTAGCCCCTGGGCTGCGCAACCCTTGTTTACCATCTTCCTGGCAAAAATGCTTGTGGATATATTGTTTCAGGAGCTGATCAGCACGTGTTTGATGTGACGGTTTGGCCGGAAAACCCTGTGGTGGAGCATGGAGGGTCTCTCTGGCTGAATTGCAGCACCAGCTGCCAGGAGGCAGATGCCAAGGGAGCCTTGGAGACGTCGCTGATCAAGGAGAGGAGAGACAATGGGACCAGCTGGGCAGCTTTCCAGCTTGTGAACATCACAGAGTGGGCGTCTGCCACGGAGTGCTCCTTCAGCTGTTACGGAGAGCAGAAATCTGTGCATGCAAACATTTTGGTGTATCGTAAGTGGCTACAAAGCAAAGATTTGTCATTTATTTGTTACTTAGCACAGCCTACTCCCTATGCAATATCCACCTAGGTCTGTGTCCAGCTCAGATCAGCTTGGCCAGAAGGAACAACATTAGGAGGAAGGGAAAGTAGAGCATGTGGGTCATATATGACCCTCCATCTCCATTTTTGTGGCTCTCCAGAACTCATACTTCCCGAAGACCATCACATGATACCAATCTTTTTTTCTTTCTAATGGCACAATTAAAAAAAACAAAACTTTTGCTAGGTCACATACATCCTCAACCTGGACAAAATCAGTCAGGCAGTACAAGCTGGAAGTAGATTTCTGGGTTGCATTTTTTTATTATTATTTTGCAGCGCTGGAAAGGCTATGTAAATTGTGTTCATAGAGAAAATTTAACAGGATACTGATCTTAAAATGTTCCAAAGTTGTGCAGAGGTTCATCCTCCTGCTTCTAAAAAATCCATTGATGTTTTTGTACAGCATCTATTGTGGTTAGGTATGTCTCTTTCAGACTGGTCTATAGATGCATAAGTTCTTGGGATATAGCTCCTTGGGTTTTGCCAGTTGTTGACTTGCTATCCATTTTTCCCATTCTTTTTGTGGACTGTTTGTAGCTAATATTTATTTATGTATGGATCTGCACTAGGGCTCT